AGGTCAATGGGAGGGAGGAGTAAGGATATCGCCACGACTCTAGTTTGACTACAGGTTGATGATGGTGCTACAGGATGAGGGATTAGAGGAGAAGCAGACTGAACACTGGGGAACAAAGGTGAGTTCAGTTTTAATGTTTAAGTCCATCTTCAAGTAGAAGAAAAATAAGAGCACGAAGGCTTCCATTGATCTGGGAGGTCCTTGGTTCCATTAATTAACACAGTATTAGTGACTATGAGGCGCTGGTAAGGTACACAAGAATAGTGTCAGTGCAATGATGATTGTGGACACAGATGGTGAGGACATGGTGAGTTGATGGCAGATGAGGAAATACTGTAGCTCGTAAGAAACTTAGATGCTACTGGCGACTTCTGGGCATGAGAGAACAAAACAAGAATATACAGTAGAAGAAACCTGCATGCAATGCTAAATACAAAGTGATGTTCTGGACTGTCTTGGAACAGAAAAAGGACATTAGTAGAAAAACTGGTGATATCTGAATGAAGTCTCTAGTTTAGTGAATAGTGATGTACCAATGTTACTTAGTTCTGACAAATGTTGCATAGTCATCTAAGATGTTAATGTTAGGAGAAACTGGGTGAAGGTCCACAGGACAATTTCTGCACTATATTTGCAACTTTTCTAAAATTTTTCCAAAAATTAAAGTTTACTTAGAAAAATCTAAGAACAGATATTCCAACAATACTCCCTATTCTATAAATTAAAGTTTTTAGTTCAGGAATTTTGAATTTATTTTTTAATAATATTTGTCTGATTATAACATGATTAAATACTAATTGTAATATAATAATTGGAAAATATACTTTTTATCTAATAATTTAGAGATGATAATCATTAACATCTTTTCTCACTCTACAGATAAGTAAATTCTATTTAGCCATCATTTAGACCAATCCTCTGGGGGTTTCTTCCCCTAATATTTTGTTATAAGCTTTTCTCCTCATGTAATTTAAATTTTTTCAAGGCATTTAAGTGACTACATACTTGTCTACACACAATGTTGTACCTATTCCTAAGCTGTTGGACATTTGAATTATCAATATTTCCAACTTTTCATTATTTACAAATAGTACCACAATGACTATCACATGCATAAATGGAATGCACATGCTGATATCATTAGGAGAAATGTCAAAAAGTGGACTTGAAGGAAATGTTTACTCAGCACTTTTGATAAATACTACCGGTATGTCCTCCAAACAACAGAACCAAAGTCTACTCTCAGTAGCAGTATGCCAAGACTCAGTCTCCCCCATCCCACCAGCAAAGAGTATGAGCAGTTTTTAAAAAATGTCATTAATTTGGTAAGTTAAAAAATATCATCACTACTTTTAAATTTATGTTTCTTTGCTTTTGCTTTTTAATGAGACTATTTTTAATATATTCATTTTTAGCCACTTGGGTTTCTTCTTATCTGAATTACCTGTTTATGCCCTTTGCCTGTTTTTGGACTGAGATCTTGTATATCTCATTTTTTTTTTCTAATTTCTCTATCTATTATTGACCTTTTATTAGCTATAGTTGTGGATAATATTTGCTAATTTGTTGTTTCCCTTTTAATCTTGTTTATTATGAGGTTCTTTAATGTACAGAGTTTAATTTAGATATGCATACATTTAATTTTCTTTTACAATTTCTTATATTCCTTTTATGTTTATAAAATCCTCACTGCCAGGGTCAGGCACGGTGGCTCACGCCTGTAATCCCAACACTTTGCCAGGCCAAGCCAGGTGGATCACCTGAGGTCAGGGGTTCGAGACCAGCCTGGCCAATATGGTGAAACCCATCTCTACTACAAATACAAAAAATTAGCTGGGTGTGGTGGCGGGCACCTGTAATCCCAGCTACTCTGGAGGCTGAGGCAGGAGAATCGCTTGAACCTGGGAGGTAGAGGTTGCAGTGAGCCGAAATTGTGCCATTGTACTCCAGCCTCAGCAACAAGAGTGAAACTCCATCTCAAAAAATAAATAAATAAAATAAAATTAAATTAAAAAACACCTCACTGCCCCAACACTCAACCAAATAAATATTAATACTGTGTTAGTTAAAAACAGCACTTACACATTTAGAAGGAGAGAAGCCAGATCACTTGTTCAACTGAATAAATCAGTTGTTTTTATTTTAGCGATTCAAATGTAAAGGCATATAGGTCTGGGATTACACTGTGATTGGCAATACTAATTCTAAAATTTAATCACACACAATCATTAACAAGTAATACTGAAACAAGCCTTCTCTTAGGGCTATCTTAGTTAAGATTTTAGAATTACTATGAACAGTTTATGTCAGAGAGTTTCCAAAAGAATCAAAAACTTAATCTCAGCATGACTATGTCAGGTAAAATCTAGTTCAGCCAGTCCCCAAGAACACAGAGGGATGTAGTAGACACTATTAATACTTTGATTATTAGCAGTTATTTTTTCCCGTCCCATTTCTAATCAAGATTCTAGTTTTCTCTGCCTTTGCGTTAATAACTACATAGAAAGAAGAATGTTAATGTAGAAAGAACATAAAGCAAAATGAGCACAGGCTTCAGAACTTGCTAGATGTGGGTTCAAATTCTGCATCCACCACTAACTAGTTAAGTTTACCTCACAAAAGTCAAATGGCCTCTTAAAGCTTCATCAGCTGTAACACAGGCTTCAGTATCAGTCGCACAGACTGGGCACTCAATAAAATGTTTTAAAAATGATTTCCAAAGAAACACATGCTTGTTATAAAATCACTACTAAGAATTAAGGTTTATTTTGCAATATAATTTTTTTTTTTTATACAGGATCTCACTTTGTGCCCCAGGCTTGAGTGCAGTGACAGGATCTTGGCTCACTGCAGCCTCGATCTCCTGGGTTCAAGCTATCCTCCTGCCTCAGCCCCACAAGTAGCTGGGACTACAAGCGCACACCACCAGACCTGGTTAATTTTTTTGCATTTGTGGTAGAGATGGGGTTTCACTATGTTGCCAAGGCTGGTCCTGAACTCCTGAGCTCAAGAGATCCACCTGCCTTGGTCTCCCAAAGTGCTAGGATTATGGGCATGAGCCACCATGCCTGACCTATTTTTCAACACAATTTTCTGTTCACATATAAATATATTATGTGTACATATACAGTTCTGTGGGGTTTTTGTTTAGTATTTTCTTTTGTTACTATTTCTAAGACATGAGGTAAGAGACTAAATCTATTTTGTTTTATAAGCAACCTCAATAAAAGATTAAACTATTTTCATGGAGAAAAATCCCCATTATAATGCTAGGACAATAAACAATTTGGAAATCAGCTCCTTTGTCCCACTAAAAATGATAAAAATATAAATTACCTCAAAAAGCCCTCAAATCATCCAATTCTCATTACAACTAGCAGTTCATAGCATCTACATACACACGCCAAATCTCAACCTTTTTCTAAACATTTATTATGTTCTACAGCTGGGGAAAAAAGGAACAATACAATATCAAATTTGAAGAGGAGTCAGCCACAGTGCGAACTTTTGACAATGGACTATTAACTATAAAACAAGTCCAACAATGAAAAAACACAGCAAAAAGTTACTTTCTGTTAAAACTGAAAAGCATCCAACTGGACCCTCCCAGACCTGTTAAAAACAAGAAAAAGTAAATGAAACTGAAAAGCTATTTGAGATAAATATATACCTGGATGTAATAAAACTGTAAATACTAAATCAGGAAAGACTGTTAGTTTGAGGGACTGAATAGTTTTACATTGTTGGCCTCAGTCTGCTTTTCTTTTTCTAGAGTAAATGTTTCGACCACAGAATAAAAGAACCTAAAACAATTTACATTAGTGTGAAAATATAGCTGCAGGCGAGATACAGCAACATCATAAATCACAACCTCTCTCTGAGAAGAAAAAAATTGTTTTAACAACACCCTGCTGTTAGGGCCAGGTACAGTCCAAACTCATTTCTAAAATCCCAGTGTTACATAACTGAAGTACATTTTGATGGAACTGGACATCAAGTTATATAATTATCAAACTACTGCGTTCTGTTTTGATTTTTCAGCAAAGAACATGACAGGCCTGGGGATGCAGCAAGAGAAGAAAATAAATTGAAAGCACCACCCATTCGTTTATAATTTAAAAATAGCTTTTATTTTTAAAATCATCTAGGGAGAAAAATCACAAATTCTCAATATTGCATCCCAAGACTAAGCCATATAAAATGGTCTTTTAAAATCTCAATTCTTTTTTGTCATTTTTTTCAAGGTATTTTTAGGTGTTTCCATTATTTAAAAACAGACACAAAAGCTTACTCAACAAAATGTTAAGGTACTTTAAAAGTTAATTAGAGGAGCATTATGATATTTATATGCTTCCTTTCCATAGACAATAGCACAATGTTGTTGGACATTCTACTACATTTGATAGAAAATTTAGTAACAGCTGTCTGCTTGTATAGCAATAATCACAAAATATGTGGAACATATATTCCCAGAAAATCGCATCTTCATCTGTTGGCTTAAATTTAAAGCATCAGAGAATTAGTTGAATATGAAAAGGCTATTATCTAAAACCTATTGATGTATTAATAACCATAATGAGGAGTATTCACTTTAGAGCAAATGCACAATCTCCTCTAAAACATGACTTTAATACAATGCAATCATTAGAAGATCACATCAGTCTGGGAAAAGCTCACACAAAGGATTATTAAAAAACTAAATAGCATCTCTTTATTTTCTTCTTTACAGAGAAAATTTACAAATACGTTGTTTTATTTAAAGCCTTTTTAAAAGGCAAATAAATGAGATAACAAGAGCTTCAGACGTTTTTGAAGCATATATTTGAAAACCTTAGATGACCCTGATAAAGTCTGCAGGAGTATGCAATACCCTGAATAAATGGTAGAAACTATTATTACATATTTAAATTAGTAAACCTAAAACAACTAAGCAATCTAATAAAAATTCACTTAAAAGTTGTTCACCATGAACTAACACTGTAAATATTGGTGATAATTACCGTGACTCAAAGGGATTGTGCCATCCTTGGGCTTCTTTTCTTCTTCAGCTTGCTCCTAGAATACAGAAAATGGGGTTTAGGTGGTATTTCTGGATAATTTTTGGAAACACTGAAAACTAATGTTCATTTTTGCAGGAAGGAAAGTTATGAAGATCCTTGTCACTAAGGGGGACAATACACACAGTACTCAGAGCCTTCCAGTGGGTGCCCAGGAGGGGCACACATGATCCATTTGGACGTGGAAGGAATTCATTAAAAGTATTGTTTCTGCCTAAAATATAAGAGACAGGAAGCTCCGATAACAGTTAATGTTGAGGTTGACACAGGTAGCTTCTCTGAGTGGATCCCTGGGCCTCACAGTCACACAGGAGTGGCTGACAGAAGAGGCTTGGTTCACGCTGAAGCCAAACCCTCCATCCTACTTTTGCTTCCAGCCTATCTGGGTCTACTACAGTTTGTAAGTACTCAGTTAAAATGCTTTAATTTTAACCAAACTGACCTTCATAGAATGGACAAGTGACTTCAAAGATTCCTGAAAAGAAACCATAAATTGTGTATGATGAACAATACAAGCAGACGCAGCAAGCAAGATGGTGCGGCCTCTCCTCATGGCACAAGCAAGGCATGCTCTAACTGCAACTCTCAAAGGAACACTTACCATTCAACAAAGACGAGGAAAGTGGCTTCTTTTATGAAAGATATGATAACAAACAGCACTTTGAAAGTGGGTATCCAGATATGTGTCTTATTTACATCATTTTGTGGCCATCAAAATATATTCCACCTATTAAAAATCCGTGGCCAGCCATGGTGGTTCACACCTGTAATCCCAACACTTTGGGAGGTCAAGGCAGGCAGGTCACAAGGTAAGAAGTTAGAAACTAACCTGCCTAACATGGTGAAACTCTGTCTCTACTAAAAATACAAAAAAGAAAAAATAAGCTGAACGTGCAGGCATGCGCCTGTAATCCCAGCTACTCAGGAGGCTGAGGCAGAAGAATCGCTTGAATCTAGGAGGTGAAGGTTCCAGTGAGCCAAGATCGTGCCACTGCACTCCAGTCTGAGTGGCAGAGTGAGACTCTGTCTCAAAAAAAACAAAAACAAAAACAAAAAAAAACTTGTAATAATTATGTACTTAAAAATCGGGAACAGAATTTCCCAGTTTTAAAATATTTTAAATGAAGGGTTTCAAGCAGACTTTGAACTTACTTTTGGAAACATAAATATGCAACAGTTTTTTGGGTTTGTTTTTTGTTTTTGAGATGAAGTCTCGCTCTGTTGCCCAGGCTGTAGTGCAATGGCACAATCTCGGCTCACTACAACCTCCGCCTCCCAGGTTCAAGTGATTCTCCTGCCTCAGCCTCCAGCTGGGATTACAGGTGCACACCACCACACTCGGCTAATTTTTGTATTTTTACTAGAGATGGGGGTTTCACCATGTTGCCCAGGCTGGTCTCGAACTCCTGACCTCAAGTGATCTGCCCACTTCGGCCTCCCAAAGTGCTGGGATTACAGGCGTGCACCACCACGCCTGGCCAATATGGAATAGTTTTCATTACTTTCCAAGAACAATTAATTATCATCAGAGAATGTGAAAATTTAGCAGCTGATTTACACAAAAACTTTTGCTGAAAAATGAGTACTATGATTTAGTAAGTCTGACTAACAAATATTTCTTCAATTTATTCCTGTACAGTTTGGGGATAGATTTCTTTAAGTTATGGCTAGTGTGGCTGTCAGTCCCAGTCAGAACGGGGCAGACCTGTTCATAGCACTTTGAAAAGCCCCACATCTGGGGAAACTCCTTAGTTGCAGGCAAGTGAGGAGGCTTGGTCACCCTAGCTTTGACAACCATAAAAACCAAATCTAAAAAAAATAGACTGCACATTTGGAAGGCTGAGGCGGGAGGATCACCTGAGGTCAGTAGTTCGAGACTAGCCTGGCCAACATACTGAAACCTTGTCTCTACTACAAATACCAAAAGTTAGCCGGGCGTAGTGGTGGGCACCTGTAATCCCAGCTACTCAGGAGGCTGAGACAGGAGAATCGCTTGAACCCGGAAGGCGGAGGTTGCAGTGAGCTGAGATCACGCCATTGCACTCCAGCCTGGGCAACAAGAGCAAAACTCTGTCTCGAAAAAAAAAGAAAAAAAAGAAATACAGACTGCACATAATGGTATCACAAAGCTCTAAACCAGGTTTTCAAAAACGAATCAGGTATACTAATATTTTAATGACAGCAAACTAGTTTTTAACTGATGAAATAAATACTATTAATTTCATTTTTCTACCTTTTTTTGGTTCCTTTTTTAAGTCTATGGCTTTAAGGTATAAAAGACAATTTGTATAGTAACAAATCGTATCAGTGTCTTAATTGTCTTTCATCCCCAAAACATAGCCTGGTACCTAGTCTAGGTCAATAAATATTTGATGAATGAAGGCAAGAATGAAAGGTTCAAAAAGAATTTTTCTGCCTGGTAGATTTCACATCCAAAATTATCACGGATATCTTTGTGCAATTAACAAAATAACATTCTGCTAAAATGTACTATAAGCCAGTGTTTCTCACACTTTAACATGCATTGGAATCATCTGGGAATCTTACTAAAATGCAGACCTTGATTCAGTGGCTCTAGGGTAGGGCCTTAGATTACAGATTCCAACAAGCTCCCAGCAGATGCTACTGCCAAAAGCATACGGCCCTCACTGTGAGTGGCAAGGCTACCACCTTTTAGCAGGGCATGCAGTGGGAGTGGAACAGTCATGCAATCATATCTACCCTGTTCTGCTGCAAGTGAGATGATGAACTGCTGCCTTGGGTCTAACTTCCCATGGTAGCACTTTACCCCAGTTCCACCCCTGTTCATTCACTCAATACACAGGAAATTTACATATGTAATTCAAAACAAAGAGACTCTCTTCTACTGCAAAACCTAAAACAGTAAAAATAAACAGCATTCGACAGTTGATTATGTTCACACTACAGCTACTGAAGCATTTTTATAATCACTGTATCGTTCAAAAATAAAAAGAAATATATAATATGCTATCTGTCACTCAGTGAGTGTTTGGTTCACACTTCTTTATTTGCTACTGAAATTCTGCCTAGAAAGAAAAAAATATTCCACACAAAAACATTACCTCTTACTTTGGATTTAAATTGCCCAAGCTTCCAATGTCTGTATGTTCTTTAGTTGGATCAAGGTTATAGACAGGTAAACATGCACATGTATACATGAAAGATTATATTGTGTATATCAGAATAAACATATATATCTATAACAGAGTGACCAAAGTTTAAACAATTTTGCACATGGAAAAGTATTTAGTATCATATGATAGAGCAGGGAAAATGCTGATTTTAGGGCTAGGTGACCTAAGGTCAAATCTCAACCCACCACTAAAAGCTATTTAACTTTGAACAAATGACCTACATTCTCTAGACTTGATTTTTCTCTCCTGTTAAAATAAAGAAATTGGACTAAATGTTCTCCAAAGTTCCTGCTAGCTTTAACATTCTTTGCTTCTGTCTAGCTAATTAATTATTTCATAAAGGTAATAAATCTACACTGCTATTAATGAACAGAGAATTAATTTTAAAAAACAAAAGAAAAAAATTAGCACTTTATCTTATCCTTGCAGACAGACCACTAAAGGAAATCAATACAAATTGCGAAAAATGAAACCATTACTGCGATTTCTGAGGTCTCAAACTTTAATTCTGAAAACTGAAAATAAAGTTCCAGAAAAAAATAGTGTTCTGCAAAAAAGGGAGATAATGGTTTAAGGAACATAAAGTAAGTCTTTGCTATGGTACATTTCCATTCACCAGTTTAAAATCCATCATTTTGGAAGAGAGGATTATGAAGTGGGAAAATAACCAAAAAGGCTTAATGTTCTGTTCCCTCCTGCTGGCACTGGATGCATCATATGCTTTTACTACAAGGCACAGTGACGTTTCCTAATTAATTAGTGTCTACATTTCTCTGTCTATGAATTCCAATCAAGGGAACAAAACGAAGGATTTTCAGCTGCTGACTTGGGTTTGGCAATTTCCATTCAGCACCTTGGAACTGCCAGATAATGCCCCTTTGCTCTCCTTTGCTGTCAGACCAAAGACTCCTGAACACTCAAGGATTTTTGAGAACCCTGCTGTTCTTGTTCCATAAGAACCTGCTATCTGTGGCCCAGAGGGTGATACACATTGGTTTCATGAACTGTAGAAAACAGTGAAATCCTATTAAATAACCCCAGTGACAAATGGCTATTTGAATTTCAACTGCTGGTTCAAGTCCACTTTTCAACTTCTTTTTTGCTCTAATCCAATGTGGGATATAAACTGAAGATACATAGAATTTGCCTTTTGGATAAAAGTACAGAAATTTGTGGGACTTTTCTCCATTGCTCTACTGGAATTCAGACACACTCAGGGAGAATGAAATGCTCCCATTTTGTTCAAATACTTGATAATATAACTACAGTCTCCAAATGAAATCTCTCTAAAGTGTTTGCTAAGACACATACAAAAACAAAAAGTGAAAAATCTAACATAGCCTTATAAACACCACCTTCTCATGGTTTTTACCATCTGTAAGTGAATTTTACTGGCTGTTGTAAACTGACATCAGTCTTCTATGAGGCAACAAAATGTAAAGAATTAACTATTACTTAAAAATAGAAACCAAAATAAACTCACCCCAAACATTTTTTCAGTATCTATTTAAGGATGTTACAGAAAGATTGCATTACCCTCTGCAAAAGTTGAGGTCAACCATGACCCCTGATGTCATTCTTTCCAGTGGCCACCACTGCAAGTACAACTTCCTCCGCTCGGCCATCAAGCCTCACTAAGTGTGACCAGCCAGATCTACCCCAGTCACCCTGCAATCTAATTGCACACCAAACTTTATCCTTACTGAAATGGAAAGACCCGTAAAGATCTTGCGATCTAAGACTGTTGTTCTACAGACAAAGAAGCTGAGCCCAGCCCGGTGAAGTGACTTGTCTTTGGCCACGCAGTTAATGAGCAGCACAGCAAAAAATAAAACCTGAATCTCCTGACCCATGCCCCAACCCCACCCAATGCTCATCTACTAACACTGCCAATAGCAACATCTGCTCCAATCAAGTAAGTCATTAAGGTCCTGCCATATATCACAGACGTCACCTTCTCTTCCAACCCCGTATCTTTGCTCATGCTGCCTCCTTAAGGGGCCCAGATAACTCCACTCTGATCCCTCAACTTTCTTACCTCTCAAGGTTACAGAGCATCTAGATGTTAATATATTAAAAAGTTATATGGCCAGGCGCAGTGGCTCACACCTATAATCCTGGAACTTTGGGAGGTCGAGGCGGGCAGATCACGAGGTCAAGAGATCAAGACCATGCTGGCCAACATGGTGAAACTCCATCTCTATTAAAAATACAAAAAAAAATTAGCTGGGCATGGTGGTGCACACCTGTAGTCCCAGCTACTCATGAAGCTGAGGCAGGAGAATTGCTTGGACTGTGAGACGGAGGTTGCAGTGAGCCAAGATTGCGCCACTGCACTCCAACCTGGTGACAGAGCAAGACTCCATCTCAAAAAAAAAAAAAAAAAAAGTTGTATTCTCTCAGATTGGATTTATCAGGTTGGATTTAAAAGCTGTTTGTTACAACAGAATAACAATGCATTCAAGATAAATATCTTAGATACTCTTCATCCTTCAAGGTCAGACTCAAGCTCCCAATGACTCTACCTTTCTCTGAAGGGTGACCATACCTTAGAGCACTAATGTGCTACACATGTACTTAGTTGTTCTCCATTACTCTACATAAGTTAGTTTTCCTTTATTTAGCAATACTCTAAGATCCTTTTGAGAATGAAAAATGTCTCATATTTCTATCTCTCAAAGTTCATCACTCACTATTTAGATAAAGATCTATTGATGTTAAGAGGTTCACAGGGAGAGACAGAATGGGAATTAACATTTTTTCAGTATCAAATATTTTATATACACAGAGATCATATATTTCATTCTTATATATTCAAACAAAATTTCCTTTTTCATCTGTGAAACTTGCATTTTTATGTAGCAAATTTGAAATTTCACAGCCTGTATTATTATTTTGGGGTTTTGTGCCTAGAACACTCACATACACACTAGACATCAATGAAATAAATAACCCTGAAAAAAAAATACTTCATTTCCCCAATCACCATATGCCTACACTTTGCTAGTCAATTCTAAAGCAAGCTGGTGAGCAGAAAAAGCTAGCAAAGGGCACCAAAAATGACACTTATCTTTGTGTTAGAAGTTGTGAAAATACAAAATACGTCATGGAGTCTAAAAGGACAGAGAAAAACCCTCTTCAAGTCTGCAGCAGCACTACAGGGACCAGATCATAAACAGAGGTTTACCCATATGGTAGAAATAAAGATGTAAAACATACAATAAATTCCAAGGAAAAGAGGCACTCTCTCAGATGTGTTAGGGAGAGGATAAACTAGGGTGATCTCTTTGGAGGATGATATGGAGTGGTGTATCAAAATTTTAAACAAGCATACCCTTTGGTACAATAATTTCACTGCTATGATAGTACTTATGAATGAACTGCAAAAGCATTCACATATAAAAAGGATATATGAATAAGAACATTGGATATAACATGGTGTATAACCACAAAAATTAAAATAATTAAATGTTCACAGTAGGGCACTGTTAAAATAAATTATGGCACATTCATAAAAATGAAATACTATGCAGCACTGAAAATAATAAAACCTGTATCTCCAAAACATTCATAATTAAGTGCAAAAAAAGCAAGATGCAAAACAACAAGCAGAATGTGAGTGCATTTGGGATGTGTGTATGTATGTGTATAGGTGCAGAAAAGGTTTGGAATTTTTAGCTGGTTTTTTTTTCCTATGTAGACATACAAGAAACTGTACATAGTGGTCACATGGTTAGGAAAATATTTAGGGGCTTAGTGTATGTGTGAGGGGATACGGTAGATAATTTAATTCTTACTTTACTGCCTGTCTGTACTGTTTAATTTTTTAACCATATGTCTATGTTCTGAAAAGCATTAGAAAATATTTTTTTAAATTCTACCTAGAAATACATAGAAAATTAGTCTAGAAATATTCATTGACAGATATTAATATTATCATCTAAAATTATTAGATATCCAAGGTATGAAATTACTATCTCAGAAGAAAATGTTCAGAAACACCCAACTGTACATTTGCTTGATGTTTTATGTGCATGATCTGCCAATGGGATGTTATTTAGTTGACTAGAAATGTCGCTTGTAAACCAGAAGGGTAACACACAAAATAAAGGATGTTACCAATATTTCAAGGAGTCTAGCAAAATTCAAGCATGACTCAACCCTTCTTTCCACAGTGAGTGCAGCCCCAGGTGTGAATACAGCCTACTATATTAAACTGTTAAATTTGACTAATGAAAATGAACATTGTTACTGGCAATGAGCCCCAAACTGACAGTGCAACGTGGACTAAATGTGCATCTTTTCAATGATATATGAACATGCTTTAAAATAATATGTCCCAAACATCCCAAAAGGTAAACTAAGAATATGGCTCTTTAAAATATTATTTGAAAAAATTTATTTGCATGGAGATGTCACTAAGCACCAGGAACATCATTTAACAGATATTTTTGAAAATCTAACTATACAAGCCCTGCACTGAAAGCGTATCTCAGTGTTAAGCACTGCTGGAGTCCAATAAGGGGAAAATCCCAATGTGGGGTAGAAATAACAGTAAACACATCAGATTAAGTTAGAAACTGAGTTGGTCTTTCAGAGGAAATTGGGATTTTTGTTAATGTAGAAGAGGCAAAAGGTTAAATACTCAGATTGTAGAGTACTAAGATAGGGTGGTAACAATCTCAGCAGCTTAAAGAGAAATGATACTGACAATTAATATAAAATATGTGTGGATGGGGGAAGGTGGTCTCAAACGTAAAACAAAAAAATTTAAGAAAAATACTGATTAACTGTAACATGACTAGCAGGTAAGATGCATCTGGCCACTTCCCTAGGACAATGGTTCTCAAACATGAGTGGGCATCAGAATCACCTGGATTGTTAAAACACAGATTGCTGGGCCCCACCTCTACAGTAGCTGATTCAGAAGATCTGGACTGGGGCCAAGGAATCTGCATTTCCAACAACCTCTAGGTGATGCTGATGCTGCTGGTCCAGGGACCACATGTGGAGAAGTACCCAGAATAACTCTGAACACATCAAATCCTGAGTCTCATGCTCTCATTCCTCAGAGGACACGACACAGCAGAACACTAACAATGGCATCTTCACCTAAGCCAAGACAGATGCAGGTCTGCTCAAATCTGGTCCAAGACACCTCTTAAATAGCAAGTTCTTCCCTTATACATGTAGAGCTCTAAATTCTCCTGGAACTGACCTAAGAAAAGCAACCAGTCTGGACTCAGGGAACTGGCCCCTGGCCCAGTGTTAATCACCCTATTGCCCAGTGAGGCTAGTCCTGAGGGAATGGCTCCAGAGTTTGACATAGACCTATTCTGAACACCTTGAAACCAACCTCAAACCAGATCATTCCTTGAGATGTCTCATTTAATGTCTGGAGTTCATCAAACCACACCTAACCTGGAACTGAACAAAAAGAAAATGTATTACACGATGTCACTTCAGCAACTGCAATGTGTAAATGTATAACCACAAACCATATGAAGACCCCAAAATCCACATCCAAATAAATGCTAAGAGCCAATGAAGGGTCACAGATGAGAATGCTGTAATGGCCCACCATCCCCAAAAATAGTCACCATGGAGGTCTTCTGGTCATTCTGCTTTTAAATTTGCAGGAATACATAAAGCTGTCCTAAGGAAACAGAACAGGCACGGTGACTACAGGCATAGTGAACATTATACCTTCTAAGTGTCTAGATGTTGCTGTGAAGGTATATTTTTAGATATGATTAACATTCACATCAGCAGGCTTCGAACAAATCAGATCACCCTGTAATGCGGGTGGGTCTCATTTAATCAGTTGAAGGCATTAAGAGAAAAAACAGGTCCCCCGAAGAAGAAGGAATTCTGCCTGCAGACTGACCTGGACTCAAGACTGCAGCACCAACTCTTCCCTGGGCCTCCAACCTGCCAGGCTGCCCCGCGTATTTCAGACGTGTCAGCCGCCACGACGCGCCTCCATAAATTCCTCTTTTTAAGATAAGTCTCTCTCTCTCTCACTCTCTCTCGCTGCTAGCTCTCTCTCTCTGTGTGTGTGTACACAAGCACACAAAAAAATCACACACATATACACATACGCTCATCCTAGGGGGTCCTGTTTCTCTGGAGAACCCTAACACAACCCCCTGCAGTTTACAGCCTCCGTTCTCTTACTTGAGAATGATTGATTACCTCCATCTTTGTGAAAGAAAAGGTCTCCTTTCACCTTTAAAATTAAGATCACCTTTTAAAATATATCAGACTTTAATAACACTTATATTCTATACCACTACGCATAAAAGTCAAGCAGAAGCCACATCGTTTCCAGTGACTGAAAAGCCCCTCAGTGTGGTTATGTGAACTCTACTATTCCATGGTGCATTTTGGTAGCAAGCACACACTGTGAGGAAGGGTCCAAGGAGTGACATCTTACCAAGCATCCGTCCTGATCCAAACGCTCTTTGGAATCCATATTAAGCTTCCTTTTCCTGTTGGGCTGTTTCATTGCCACCCCTGCACTCCTTGGCAGTGGTTTTCTGTAAAACAGGGTCACATAAGAAGTTGGGGATGGGGATGTGACCCCTTCAGAATTACAGAAGCAAACAAGAAAATGCTTTCAATTATACTTCTCATAATTGGTTGCTATAAATAACCTGATAAGTTGACAAAAGTTTTGCAATTGGATTTATAGTCCTTAATACAATAATAAGACAACGGGGAAGAAATGCGTTTTCTACCTCATCTAGAATTTATATAATGGGGAAAATAGATATTGTTGCTTTTGGTCTTATCTGGAATAAAATGTTTGCTTTTTTGCTTAGCTGACCTAACCAATTAGGATTCACTGCAATCAAACTGCACAGGTTCTGTACTCACATGGTCTGACAGGTATTCTTGGTAAGAGGTCTTAGTCATACAAGGCATAGCACAACAATCTGAAACAGAAAATAAGAAAAAATTTCACCAATTCAATTCATCATAACCCTTCTTCTGTATATTCATAAACAGTGGTAGACATTCTTTGAATGTCTCATTTCAAGACATTCTTGAAATGAGTTTTTTTTTTTATAGGGCAGGTCAACCATTTTGGAGAACCAACCACCAATACCAAATGAGTTCCACTGGAGCTATAATTCAAAAGTCATTCACTTTGAAATAATGTTAACAATTGAAATATAATTTTTTAAACTTTTAATAGCCCTAAATCATCTATAGTCTCCAGTGCTTTACAATGATATATCCAACTTCTTCATTGATATTTCCACCTGAACAATGACACTCCAAATATGGCAAATGTAACATATTTGCAACCGAGCTCATCTTCCTCCACACTGCCTCCCAGTTCTAGGTTCTCCTATTTGCACAGATAACTGGCCACCCATTTGCCCAGAGCTTCCTCTTACGGTTGTTCAGACTGTACACCACCCAAGAGCACCAACCCAAGGGGCAAGTGGAGGCTGAAATCCACCGTGGGCTCTACACCCACAGTTCACCTGTCACTGGCCTGCATCATCCCAGGAGAAAATGCATCTTTTTCTCATTCAAACAATACTACCTTCTGGGCTAATGTCTGAGCCAGAGAACTAGAAGTTGCCATCATTTCATCCTTTATATCACATTGTACATATTGCCATCAGGTTTTGTTGATTTTTAATTTACTAAACATTTATTGAATTTACCTTCTTCCTCTACTCCTATTAACTCTGATCATTCCAATTTTATGTTGCAGTCAATCCAAAGGTCTTAAAGTTCTTTGCAAAGCAAGGTTCCTGCTGCTTCTCCACTCCATACTTCTGCTGGTCCCTCAACCTCTGAACACCTTGCCCATTGCCTGCCCTCCCTTTTTCAACTTATCTAATTCTAACTCATCCTTTCTGACCCCACTAAAAGAGACTTCACAGCTTTCAAGAAGGTCTTCCTTGCCTACCTCCTGCTCCAAGTAAACCAAGTGTGTCCTTTCTATATTGCATTTCTTGTGCATACCTTTATTGTAGTTTTTGTTTGCAGATATGCCTCCCTTTATGAGCCTGTAAGCATCCTGATGACAAGGACTGTGAATTACTGATTCTTATTTTCCACTGTCTAGATATTACCTGGCTCACAGCAGTCTCTCAATATGTGTTTATTGACTTCAACTACATAAACATGTCTCTCTGAATTACAGAGAAGCCTCAAGCCCTTAAATCCAGTGAATATTAGTTCTTGATCCATACATTATCTTTTATAATGCTGTATGACTAGAGTGAACACAGTTCTCAAAATTAATTCCTTTCCCTTTTTCTTTAATATACAAAACAAAAAAATAAACAAAAAAAAACTTCCTTTCCACATATCCTTTTGCTTCTAGTCAGATGATATTTATGTTCTTAAGACAGGCACTTATGTACTAAATTCAATAACATTACATTCATTTTGAAGAATGTAAATACAATTTTTCATGCCTAGCTTCTGGTAATTCTCTGAACATCTATGCAAATGAACAGCATAGACTTGATGCCTGTAGCAAAGTATTATTGCACAAGACACAAGCACTGCCAAGGCTGTCCTGCCTTTCACGACAAATAATACCCCACGGCTTGTCAAACTGAAATCATCTGGCTACTGACATTTTTCTCCTCACCATCAAAATGATCTGCCTTGCTAATCTCTGGCAATTATCTCAATAACCTTGATTTGTTTAAAACAGCAAGAAAGCCTGAATTCACATTATTTTATATCGGGGGAAAAAAATGAAAGTTTTTACACTTTGAGGAGAAATTTCAACATACAATTTGGTAATAATGAATTTCCTCTGGATTTAGAAATAATAAAGCAAAAATATAAAAGTCACCGAACAATCCATATAAGATTTTGCTGCCAGACAAAAAGGGAATCAAATACAAGATACCATTAAATACATAGGAGACGAATGACATACAGATGGACGACAGATAGATGGATGGATGGATGGATGGATAGACAGATAGACAGATAGATGATAGACAGATAGTCTAACACACAGAAAAACAGGCTTAAAGAGAGATTTTGTATAATCCTTTATAATGTCAATGCAAAGAACATATTCTACCCAACCGAATAGGACATTTCTTTTGAAATAAACCTAACTTAATGTCCTTGGCATGGTATCAAAATACACGGATTACTCTGATTGTCCATGATATATGACCTACTCCCAGGAAGCCCCAAATGTCACATCAGCCACGTGTCTCCTTGCTGAGCTTTGAAAACATATATAAAGTTTTTGGAGTAAAAAAAGAGAATAATATCAAATTATAAAACACATCAAGGAAACACATTATCCAGGGTAAGTAAAGGCATGTACCAACTACACTGAGCTGCGCTCAGTGTCCCCTGGCTTTGTGACAGTGCCCAAGCACCACCTAACATAGACAAGGTGATGTTCAGTGATTTTAATTAGAGAAGCTTCTAAATAGTGTTTTAGATTTTAAAAAAACAACATAGATAACTACATATAAATATTTTGTGTTTCTGTGTAAAAATTGAAAATAGTGTACTAATTTTTCAATTTAATCCTCTAAATGGTTTAATTTCCCTTCATAGTAGAATTCTCTGTCTGCATGTTGCCAAATACTAAGGAGATAAATTAGACTGATACTTAGAAAGCATCTGAATACTTCAAATGGAAGGAGTCTATAAATAACTAAAATAATTCACTATCTGTCTACGTCCAGGTGCTATTTGGTAATTCTTTCAAAAACATTTTATTGATCATCTATTAATCACCAGTATAGTTACAGGTACCTTGAGGAATATGAAGCTGATTAATCACACACCCTCTAAAGGGAGATAAGTATAGCAGCCATATGTCCTGGATAACCCAAGGTACGTCTGCCTTCTGCCACTCATCCTGGCATAAGGATTAACAGCACTGCTTTCACTCCCCAAAATATCCCAGTTTAAACAATAAATCATATGGTACCATATGGGTAAGAAACATACATAAATTAATAAGAAATGTAACACATGACATTAAAAAATTACAGAGTGGCCTGGGTGTTCACAGGAGGGACAATAGGTCTAACAACATGCACGGTGAAAGAACATTTCTGGTGGTTCTAGGACACTGCGCAGATCTTAAATGAGTTTATCACCAAAATATCGAATACAAGTTTCTGATCACTGTACTGATTTCCCACTATTTCAAAGATATTGCCAGCCTAGAATTTATTCATCTGGTTGATACTTGATGTTAATAATACATAATGTTTGAATAAATTAATAAATGATTACAAGTGAATGAATTATTAATAAATGATTACAAGTGAATGAATTTTGATAACTTATGCGTGAATTATTGATCCTTCTTAATGGCATTAATAATAGCTAACATTACTTGAGTACTAATGTACCAGGCAGAGCTATCAGCCCTCTACACATACACTTTCAATTAATACTTATGACAGCCCAACAATATGTGTACCACTGTCGCCCTCATTTCACAGAAGAGGAAACACCAAGGGGTTAAGTAACTTGTCCAAGGTTATATAACAGACAAGTAGCCAGACAGTAGAATTCTGGGGTCCATCTTTGAACACCATACTATGCTGTAGCTTTTGTAACTATATTATAAGTTTGGTTATCTGAAACTTAACCACTCAGTACACTAGCCAAATCCCTGCTACATACAAACATGTAAAACATGTAAAACATAAATCACGTAAAACATACATGATTTAAGGCAGAAACTGACAACAAACTTCCTGTGGGAACCACTGGCCCTCATGTGGAGCCTATCTGCATAGTGGCTCTTTATTGTCACTTTACTTATGTCATGGTAGCCACCTGCTCTCATTTTTTTTTAATTTTGCCTTTATTACCTATTTTGGAATCTTAAAATACTGATAGTTAATTATGTATTAATTCTGCACCCATAAGTCTTACATAATACTTTATGAGAATAGCACGGTAAGTCCCAAGATTCAGGGTCCAAAGGGTATCACAGAGGTTGACTGAAACTCAGAATTTTCTAAACAATTACATTACTCTCACTGAGTCTATGTCACTCCCCTGCCACTCCCATCAGAGCTAGTGCTGGTGCCCACTGCTGGGACACATAAGGACAGGTCACATCACTGGACCCCTTGCAGATAATCTTCAGCACCAGCCCGAAATTTGGCAGCCCCATGGGGTGGCTACCCAGAGGAATAGCAGTGTTAACAGTGGTCTGGCTCTCAGGGACTCCAACTTCTAGTGGAAGGGGAAGTACACCACATCAAGGGAACACCCCATGGGACAAAAGAGTCTGGATACCAGGCCTTGAGTCCCAGAACATTCTGCTCGTGGGAAGTTTCTTTCAGCAGAGGCATGAGTGCAATGCTGGTGCTCATGAAGGGTCTTGGAGAAGGGGACTTCTTTTCTCTCTTATCCATTACTGCAAACACAGCTGGGGCTTCTCCTATAAGAGCTTGACATGAGTGTATCTATAGACAGCCTTTCTGGAACACTTTAGGGTGACAGCATCCTCACAGTAGGAGTGCCCTCCAGATTCAGGCTTGCACAAGAAGTGGAATCACAACTCCTCTATACTTGGAACATCAACATTCCTAGACATGAAAACAGGTGCCTGTCTGATATGAATAGCTGGAACATTGGGTCAGGAGTGCATCTGGGAGTTGGATCACTTTCCTGCTGGCCTAGCAGAAGAAACAAGGTGGCTCCCACCCTTCCCCCTGATAAGACCTCAGTGTTTTTCACTGAAAGCTCCCCCAGTCACCTCTATCAAGGCTGGGACATCTGCCCACTATTGGGTACTGCATTTACCCACCTGCTTTAGCCAAAACCAGTTTCTACCCAGGGATACTTTCCCTACTGGCCTGAAGCTTTAACTATTCAACCCAGTAAATAAATAAAATACTGGGACAAAATAAATACATACATACATACATACATATGTACATACATACATACACACTGT